GTGTGTGTGAGAGAGAGAGTGGGGACAGAGGGAGGGAGACAACTGCTGTTGGTCTGCTGGGAGCAGATGTTGGAGATCTTTGTAAACTGTTAATAGCTGCAGGATCTCATTACATTTAACTCTTTAAATGCCAAGCCTCCGCTGGGGAGAAAGTGTCCCTCATTGCCTAACTACCAGCCTGGCACATGTTTACTCTGCCCAAGTTAGAAGATGCAATTTAAAGATTTAAATGGCCACTTTGCCTCGTTTCTGCTTATTTTCTTGCTGTAGATTCTGCAACATAACATTTAATTAAAGGGAGATTGTGTAACTTTTGACAGAAGAAATAACTTTGCTCTATAATGGACATTAACTAGTCAGTACTAACTGAATGACTCCTTTCTTTTGTGCTACTGTAGGTTTTATCATTCAGCATTATCCTGTAATTGTCACTTTAGGTTGCGGTGACTGTTGTTTAGCAAAAGTAACACAGACTCGCTTTAAAGTGAACACTACAATAAACTTTTCTATCCCTGTTAGCCTCAATTATTTATGTTTTGACCCTAGACTTGTTCTTTAATTTTGCTTACTCTTTTGTGTTTTTATAAGATTCTTTCTCAACGAAGCAGAGCTACATGAAGAAGCAGAAGTACTGGCCTTAAGTACAGTCTGAGAAACAGATTAAGTGGTTAAAGGAAACTTACTTTAAATTGGAAATAACTTGGGAATGCAGTCACTTTTAAAGTAAAGTGCCTTGCTAAGGTAAGTTCACCATTAAAAAAAAAAAATACAGTTTTGAATATAAGAACGGGACCAATGTTTTGCACTTAAAGTGTGTGAACCTCATTAAGGCAGTGTGAGGACTGAGAGAGAAGGGGAATAAGACACAGCACAGAATGATCGTGGAAGAAGTTACATCTCAGGGTAAACTAGGATTTCTATGTCATTAGGTTTGAGTTTATTTTGTACCAAAACACACGTTTTGACTGTTTGAATTCCGATCTTCTTACCACACTGACTTGTCTTTTAATCCTACAGCTCAGGGCCATTAAAGGAACACAAAAGTAAACCAAGCCCTGTTACTTTAAGCAGTGCCATTCCACATGAGAGCTCAGTGTTTAGAGTGAATCCGATGACAAAACTGAGTACAACAGCTGTTTGCTGCACTGCATTACTGTCAACACTGAGCTATCACGCGAGCATGCATGTATCTGTGTACCACTCTGTTTTCAGCACAGCAGTTCGACCCTCTAAATTTATTTCAGTAGGCTTGGAGTGGCCCGAGTACTGCTGGGGGCATCCAGGCCTACGGCAAGTTTTTCTGACCTTTATTTACCGGGAGTAGATTCATCGAGCATGAGCGCTCTTTCAACACTCTGCTTCACACTCTTCCAGTTATAGAAATTCACACCAGGGAGCATCCCAACACTCACACAGATCTACTGATGGACACACAGCGGCTCCACTGGAATAGCAGGGGATTAAGATGCCTTGCTAAAAAGCACTTTAAGGGTAGCTCAAGGAGGGCAGAGCATCACCTCTTCCAGGCAGATCTTTTTGGAGCTGGTTTAAGGATTTGAATCTTTAAATCACAGCCCCCCTCCTGTAACCTTTAGGTGTTAACATGTTTGAAGTCCTCTCACCTTGATTCCTCCCATCCTCTGCTCTCCCTTGAACTCTTTGCCGTTCTTCAGCCAGTGGATGCTCGGTGTTGGGTTTCCAGCCGCGGCACAGCGGAACTTCACGGTGTTGGCTGCTGGAACGGCCAAAAGTTTCTTGTCCATCCGGTCAGGCCTGGTCCAGTATGGAGCCTCTGTTGGTGAAACACAAAACAGGGTGTTGCGTCAGTCATGGAAAACACGCTGTATTTGTATATAACATTTAATGGACAGTTGTATCCAGTGCTGAAGTGTCTCAAGTCAAGTTACTAGAAATAACTCTCAAGGATTGAGTCATTCAAGATGTCCAGTCTCAAGTCCAAGTCAAGTCAAAAATCTTTATAAACAAAATGCAACTTAGATGCAAACCTTTCAGGTCTCAATCCTGACCATTAAAATGACACAGTATTTATAATTATACCCTTGTGATAGTTTATTTAATAGTTAATTGTTATTTATGTAGCTGGTACCAAATCACTTCAATGATTGCGTTATTACCAGGTCAAAACCTGACACTTGAAGGTTTTTGTTTTGAGGTCTTTGGGGATTGACTTGCTCTGCTGAGATGAACCATTTTCTTATCCTAACAGATCATCCCCTAGTTTTCCATTTTCTGGTGTATTCTTAGATTATAGAAATTTTTTGGGATAGACCCTCCAGGAATTCATTGTTACATGTTTTTGTAATTGCTAAAAGATGGCACAGACAGGAGGAACTTGCTCTTCTGCCCTGTCTCCAAATTGGTCCATCTTGTACGAGTTATGTATTTTGCCAGAACAGATGTGAGGCTGTGGTTTTCACTGGAGGTCTTCCCTCACCGCACTGATAAACAACACACAGTACCTGCACCCATCTTTTCTCTCGTCAAGCCCAACCCTTCTGTCCCAAGAGACACAGTTAAGTTCAAGATGTGTTAACTGTGTAAAACACAGTTTGACGGATGTTGAAAGAACACAAAATGGGTGTGTGAAGCGTCACAAGGACCAAACAACGCTCATCATCTTCTTTCCACAATAACAATGCAGGAGTTCATTTGAATCGTCCGATCCTAAGAGTTTGGAAACCTGTCAGGGCGATTTATTGAGTTGTATTGAGAAGACGGTGGACAAAGAGAGTGTAGCGAGTCAGAGAGGCCTATTGTTCCTGCTGTGTGGGTGTGGAGGGTGAGAGCACTGAGGCATGGCTCGCTCACTCCCTTTATAGGTCTGTGTGTGAGTGTGTTTCCCGGGACAAAGGCTGGGGAGGTGGCTGACCGGTCATCAGATGTCTCTTTTACTTTTCTAAAAGCAGGAGGAGAGAGAGGAGCTAATTACCATCTCAATGTCTGTGCTTGTGTGTGTGTGTGTGTTTTTATGTGTGGGTGCTATCAGACCCGGGTCTCACCCTCCAACAGCACATGGGCGGGTTTTTATCTCATCAGGGCAACCCAGGTGAGATGTCACTTAGAGACATTCAAATATCACCTATCTGTGATTGTCTCTGATCCAACACGTGTGTGTGACTGTTTATCATAATGTCTGGGGTCTTCTGATATATTTCTGACACACATCTCTTTGGCTGCTGCCATCAAACTTTGGCTCCAGCTTCACAGAGTAATTACAACCAGACTGAGAGGGAGATTCAGTGATGAAAGACACAGACGTATCTTCTTAGAAAGCAAACAAACAGAACGTTACTTCACTCTATTGAACAGACTATGAAGTCTGTGTGTGTTTGCGTGTGTTTACAAACTCTAATGGAGCAGCTGAACACTGCTCCCTGCTTGAGTTAGAGACTCCCCAGCTCGCTAAGACAAACGCTCCCCACGTGCAACCACACGCACACACAAGCTGCCTCCACCTTAAAAGGGAAATGTCTGTTAGATTTCATTACTTCTCTCTCTCTGTGTCTCCTCTGTCTCGGCGTATTTGGAGCGACACTCGGCGCAGCGTGGGACAACCCTCCAAGGAGTCTGAACACATTGTTTTCTTGGCATCGTAATCAGCCACACACACACACACACACACACACACGGTCAAAGAGAAACACACATTGAGTTTTTAAACAGTCTCTCTCCTGATGTGTGGTCCTTCCTCCCTCCCTCCCTCCCTCCTCCTCCTCTTCCTCCTGCTGCTGCTCCTGAACTGATCTGGGCCTGAAAACACCTTCATACGGCTTATGATCCTTCAGTTGTTAAGCCAAAATAGACGTCTGTGTGGATTCAGCACGTGCCGGGGTCCTCGTCTCGTCTCCATGGTTTTGTCCCAAAAACACACTGAGCATTGGTTTATTCGCTGACCTTTAGCGGCTAAGTGCTAACTGCTGTGTTTCTGCACAAGATCACCTGTCAGTCAAACTGAGTGGGCAGTGCAGTGACGTCTTCTTCCTCCGACTGTCTGTAAATTTTCTTCCATTCTGTTCATCTTCTACTCATCTACTCATCCACACCACAAACACCATCACTTCCTTCCACTGCTTTACATTTTTAGAAATTCAGAGTGAGTTTGAGCAATGAGTGCTGTGAATAAATAAAGATATGTTTATTCCAAGTAAAAATAGATTATTATCTAGAGGTGATTTCCTTCTTTTGAGTCATTTTATTTGGTAGTATTTTATGTAAAATAACACACTGAGTTTCTTTCTGATCCTCCAAAAATGAGACAAATGTGATTTGTTGGCTCTGTGGATTCTCAACAGCTCACTTTAAAAGGCTCATGCACCGTCATAAGAAGTAAAAACTGCATTTTCCCATTCAGAAACAGCAGTCGATATTTGGATTTCAGCTTGTTTTTGATTTACTGTGGAGTCCCGCTCTGTATGCTGAGCAACACACAGGAATCCCATCCCGTGTCTAATTGGCTGGATGGTATTTCCTCAGCGGAGGGGAGTGGGATTTTCTAGGAGGAAGGCGGAGGGGACCAGAGCAGATACCCCTCAAACCCCACAGGGACGGGACGGGAGGGGGGCTCTGGAGATAACCCTGCCCTGAGTGGATATGCACTTACTGTAGTGGAAACTGGTTTACCATAGCATCTCCTCTGAGCTCCACCTGTCAGCAGCAGAGGTTAACCGAGGAGGGGGATCTCTCTGGGAGCCTAAAAATACTCGACTGTAATCCCGTTGTGCTGTTTGTTTGGTTAACGTTCGATAACAGACTCCATAACAGAAATCACTAAACTCCGACAGGGAGAGGTCAGTCAGCGGGAGGAGTTATATCTCATTCACACGCACAGACACTCATACATTCACTAGATAGGTTTACTGGGCAGTAGGGTATTCTATTGCAGCTACCAGTATATAGCAAATACAAAAGTCAGGTTATATATTTCACATTACCATATAAGCATATGTTCTGGATACCTGCTGCTACTTAAAAGGAAACTTTTTCAATCAGTATCATTACAATGTGGGTAGTATATGCAAATGAGCATATTTCTTGCTTTTTTACATTTTACATGCCCGCCTCAACCACACGGTTGGGTCAAGAGTCAGGCCGAGAGCCAGGGCTCCCAAAACTCAGATAATGGGACATTTTCAGTCACTTTGGACGTTTGTCCATTAGTTAACAAGTGTTACTAATTTCAGTGTAATTTGTTGTAGAGTTAGGCCATAGGCCAAAACAGAAATGATCACTTTTTGGTAGGCATCCAGGAATTTTTCTAATGATTTATTTTTTTGCAAGATAGGGCTTTTTATTTAAAAAAATATTTTCGATATTTTCTCATGAACTACTGCACTTACTCAAAGGAAGGAAAAATCTGGCATATGTGTGACTGTCTGCCACTGTGTGTATTTTGATGCAGATCCAGATTAAAATTTTCTGAATACTTACAGTTATTGAAATAACAGGTTTCGAGGACTGTGCAGCCTTGGCAGGGGTATGCACTGTCTGAGTGCTGAGTTACATTTTCTTTGTATTTGGACTAAACATTGCCGTTATGAGTGTTCCACACACACATGAAAACACACTCACACACACAAACCCTGCAGCTTTCTGTTCACTTTTCCTCTGACTCTTTGCTCTGTGTTGCGGGTCGGGGGAGCGTGACTGCGGCTCTCCATCAGCCCAACTTCAGTGCAACAGCAATTACCTGGAGCAAGACACACTGCGGTACAGATCGCCACGGCACAAGGCCCTTCAGCGCTCAGACACCGATCTAGGGAAAAGGAGGAGGGGGTCTAATTGTGTAATTGTATAATTTGCCCTCACTGACGCCTGCGAGCACACAGGCAGATTTCATTACAGATTACACTGGCACTCTTTGAAGGCACGCTGCCCCGGAGGGCCTGCAGGGACTCAAGGCAAACAGAGTCGGAGGAATGGCGGCCGCGGAGCAGCGTTGCGTGGCCCGACGACCGGCTCTCTGCTCTCCTGCCAGGGTAAACAAGGAGGCTGCATAGCTCAGGAGCACAGCACAGTACAGATTAGGCTCTGTTAACATTCCTCCCCCCCAACACACACACACACTGCCCTTTCACTTTACACAGGCTCTGAGTGTGTACATGGCTTTCCACACTGCAAAAAATGCTCACTTCAATAACTCATATTCATCGTGTGAGGCGTGACCTTTTCTTCTTCATCTTGCTAGCAGGTTTTGCCATTTTCAAACATATTCTGAGAGGTCAAAGGGGAAGAAGTACTGGACAGTCATAAGTCAAGACAGGTGAAATATTTTCTATTACGACGAGGCATTCACTTTTTGTTGGTAATCGTCTATGATGACTAAATGGTGAAATGCTCCTCTAAGGATCTGTTCAGGCATTTTAAACCAACCATTTGTTAGTTTAAAGCCCTGATGAAGACCTCCAGTGGTCAGACATGTTGGCTTTTTCTTTCCTGAAATGGCCATTACAATAAAGGCTTTTTAATTTATTCCTTTCTCGTTGGTTTATTTTGGAGTGCCTGCTGCCTTTTTGTTTGTTTGCAAGAGCACCCAATACATCTTCTAATGTACGTTTGAGTATGAAGAGCAATCAGTCATCTTCCTTTTTCAAATATTTTAATCGTTTATTCAGCATATTTTGTGTAATTCAATTAATGTGAATATGTATGATGTATCTTTTGTTCCCCTTTTGTTTAGATATTATTATTTCTCATTTAACTCATAATTTAAAATGACTTTGTGGATTTTTCTGCAACCCATGAGGTTCCCATCAGAAAAGTAAAATCAACCTCACAGTTTGGTCAGTAACAGTATGTGTGTGAAGGCCTGCTGAACCTTCACCTGCTTTCTCCTGATAGCGTAGCTGATAGATACAGAGGTAACTGTATAGCTGTCTATCTTTTTAAATAAAAATGAAACACAAATTGGTGTCACTCTCAGAAATTGGTCGATAATATCAATTGTGCGCAGCGTCGTCTCCACAGGAATTACTGTGGCTGCTGGGCAGGCGTCTATCTTCTCTGTCTTTTCCCAGAAGGCCTTGGGAGACAGCTGAGCGGGTTCTGGAGGCTGGAGGAGAATGAGCTCATAACTGCAGCAGCTTGTCTGTGTGTCTTTCTCTCTGTCTGTCTCTCCTCTGAGGACAGTCAGCTGTGGCCAGCAGCATCATTTCAACTGGCAGCTACAGTGACAGCTCAGAGTGACTCAACTCCTCAAATCTTCTCTTTTTTGTGCCATCTCTTCTCTTCTCTGTCTCGCTGTCAATCAGCTGAATGTTTTCTATCCCCTCTCCCTCATTAATTGCCTGACTCTCTCACCATCTCCACATCTCTATTATCGCCCTCTCTGTGGTTGGACGTTCTTCCGCTCACCGACAGGGACTCTCCGTCTGGCTGTGTGGCTCATCACATGGCTCCTTCCTGCTACAGCCGGCTAATTAGCGGTGGCTTAGCGGACATTAAGCAGCGATAGGGGTTTAACGTTTCTGGGCTAATCCTTCTCCTTTTGGCCAGGAAATCGGAGCCTCGTATGTCATGAGGTAGATTTACATCCAGAGATTAAGTCTGGCAGTCTGAGGCTATTTACTGGCATTCAGGATATCTGCAGTAAGCTGCTGCTGCTGCTGCCACTTCGGCCTGTTTAGGAAACACTCCAGGCTTTCCAAACGGCGCATCCAAACACATTCAGGTTATACATTGCAAGGTGTTAAGATTATCCACCGTGACTTTCAGTACAAAGACAGCAACAGGAAGCTTTCTGGAGTGTTACTCCCAAAGCTTATTCTGCTGCTTTCTTCTGTAATCTCTCTGGATAAGAGCATCAGCTAAATGCCTCAAATAAAAAGCAATACTGTATGAACATGAAGCTAGATTACATTCTTAATCCTCAAACATCCGAAGTGAGCAGGGATTACATGTTGAAAGTGATAGGACCAAAAGACAAAGAATATTACCAGACACTCCTGAGTTCATTAAATGGTGAGTGCTCGAGTATATGGAGTGCTACGATAACAACTATTTTTTCTAATTTCAGATTACCACATCTATAACTGGATTGTTTTTTCAAGCACCAGCTTTACTAACAGTTCTTACTTATTTTTGACAGTCTGTCTTCCTCAGAGCTCCATTTGCATGCTGCCATCAGACACAACTGCCTCATTAAAATACAGATTTATTTCCTGTCTCCTAACGGTAAGGAAATCCTTCACATTAAAAAAAAAAAAAAAAAAAAACCGCAGAGAAATGGGAAAGCAGCAGCTCCCCACAACCCAGACAATTTATACGGAAATGCATTTTTTATTTCTTTTTTTGACATGATGTCTTTACTAAAAGCTTGCATTTTTAGGGGGAGTTTTGCTTTTATTTTGATAGTACAGATATGAAAGGAAATTACGGGAGAGAGAGTTTGGGGATGAAAACAAAGCTGTGACGAGAGGACACCATTGGCTCTTTTTTGGCCGCCAGTCCATCTTGTCACTCTCTGTCACCATGTAATGATTGTAGTTTGATGACAATAGATTGGGTGACACATTAATGGTGACCATGTGGCATTTGGGCTGTTTCAGCAGCTGCAGTGTGAGCCACTGTCACTGTCTCAGCATTTCATTTTGAGTCGAGTGTGATGGCGCTTGATTTGGTTGGAGCTTTGTACGCGACAGGCTTTTATTTCAGTTGGGCGTCCGTCTGTCGCTGCGTCACCGAAACAGTTCCATATTTCGCCTCTGGCACCAATTTTGTCAAGCAGTTAAGGTGGACTGGGATTCAGTTCAAGACATGATGGACCGCTTGACACTGCTGGCACGTTTTTCAGCTTTTCACTGACAGTTGAAGACTGACGTCAAGAAGTAGACTCGTCTAATCAAGTCCTTCTTTGAACTAATATGAACCAAGTATTCAATGCAATGTTTTGAATATAACTTAAATCCATCCATCCATCTCTTTCTGCAGGCTTCTCAGTGTATGCATCAGACTCTCTATTGTCTCCCTCCCTTCACCTCAATCCCATCATTTCTTCCTCTCTCGCCATATTTCCATCATTTCACTCCTCTTGTTTTTTTCGGCTGTCTCTGACTGTTTGCGCCTCACCTTCCGCTGTCTCCCACCGTACGGTACAACAAAGGCAGCACAGTGTGGCGTCTGGCTGGTCGAGAGCCCGCCGAGGGGTGGAGACGCTTTCTGTCTCCCTGGAGTCATGCTAACTGACAGAACTGAGCGTGTAAAGCGCACGCAGCCAGCAGAAGCCATCCCTCATCGTTCTTTGTTCACCTGCACCTGAACTCCGCACGTCTCTGAGTGCCAAAGCAGCTCACATCACAACAGAGCGCTGAGAATGGGGTGTTATCCACCGGAGAACCACAGGCTTTTGATCTGTGCGATAGTGGCATTTAGTTTAGTGCTCTGGGGAGAAGCTTTAATGTGAGCACAGCAAGACAGTGAGCACTTATAAAAGCCGTATAATCCCAATTACAGATATAAAACTCTAATCAGTAGCATAAATCCAATGAAAGTCATGTAATTGCCAATAAAACCTCCTTTCAAAGCGATTCTTGTTGCTCCTGCAGACAAAATCTTTCATCATGATGACATGTTTGAAATTAGTCCAAATTCTAAAATGCAGAATAACTGTTGAGATGAATAACCTGAAGAGACCATTTCTGCTCCACAAAAGCACTGTGTGACTACAGCAAACACTGTTACTGTTAATGAGGTTGGCTAATAATTCAGCATTAGCAACACCAGAGTCGCTAAAGTAACTAGAAGATATAGAGACTTGATCAGGAGGTTGTATAACCTTTGATGTCTCGAGGCAAGTATCATGTTTTGTTTGGGAAAAGTACTGCCTGCATACTATTTAAACCATCCAGCTCTGTTGAAGTTATTGAGATTATAGTCAGGTAAAAAAAAAAAAACAAAGTTATATATAAATGAGGTTCCTTTTTGAGGAATGTTTTACCTTTAAGTAACTTATATTGCATACTGCTGTATATACTTCATACTCAGAATTCATGGTCTCCAATAAAAGCCAATAGAAATAATCTGAGTAATCTGAAATTTTTAGTAAAGAAAACAACTGCAGTTCAGTTATTGTTTTGATTAGATAAGTGAATTTATCCATATCAAGCTTTAGTATAGGGATAAAATCAATTTTATTACTGACCTAGCCTAAAATCTATCCTTTCGCATTCAAAGGGAAATAAAGTTGTAAAGAATCTGAAAAATATAACAATCCAACATTTAAACAAAGCTCCAACCCATTCACAGCAGCCCCTCCCCCAGGTTCATTCAGCAGTCTGTGTGGCAGGTGCTGCACATTAAGCTTAACAACGTAGTTCACGCTGCCTTCATGGACCTCAGGTTGTATTTTTGACATGCGAATTTGAGAACACATTAATGCTCGGTGTTTAAGTGCTAAGAATACTGTTGCTAGGTGACAAAACAGCTGGAGGTTGCTTTGTTCTTAGAAACGGTTAATGATTGTGTGCTTTTTTTATTTTGACATGTTCAGAAATTCGGTGTAAACTGAATTTTGAGCTGTCATAAACTTTCTTTTGATGCTGTTAACAAATGGAAACACAAGCCACCTTTAGGCATATTCCGAGTTAGGGTTGGTGAAACAGCATTTTGGTAGTTTGGGGTAAAGATCATTGTTAAAAATGAAAAATGTTTCCTGTTTCCATTTGTGTCCCCTTCACTTCATTTTTCTAACTTTGAGTTCTTTTGCTTTTAAGGTTATTGACTTAGTAAGATTACTAATTTCACACAGTTTCATAGAAGGTTGTTTATCGTGAGATTTATAAGCAGTAAAAGGCTCCAAAATGAATGCCTTACTGACACCAAACAACATTGCTTAACTCAAGAAAAATGCAGTCAGAAAATAGTTAAGAATTCACCATTTCCATTACCTGCATCTTCTGGATCTTCATCATAATCTTCATCATCACCAGACGACAGAGAATCTTAAAATAAAATACGACAGAGTGGAATTAATATTTAGATGACAAAATGTTGGACAAATCTTAATGTGCATCTGCACTCAAGGTTCAACTGTTCATAAAATGCCCTTATTCTTTAGACTACTTGAACTACGTTAACCATCAGATAAAACAAAAACTACATCTGGAAAGCTTGTGGCCGGGAATTTATTTTGTGGAAGACAAGAGGCAAATAAAGAGGGAAAATAACAAAGCTGGAATTTTGTGCATGTTAAATGCCCAGTGGAGATTAAATGGTGTGTGTTCAAACAAGTATAATTACACGAATACACACACACACACACGTATGCATATTAAAACTGACTTTGCTCATTGAGAAACTCATGAATGAGTCTACAGTTCTCTGTAGCGTGGCGGCTTGCTCAGATATTACAACAAAAACATTTCCACAGACGTTAAAAAATGAGAGGGTCATTAGCACTGCTGCGACTCGTGTGTGTGTGTGTGTG